CCTAGCCACCGTGATGATGGTGAGAGAGGGAGAGACAGGCAAACTCCAAATATACAGCAGGCGTCAGGGTCGGGATTGAACCCACGACCTCCTGTATACCAGTCGAGGGAGTTAACATCTCATAGCCACCGTGTTTCAACGCCGTGGTCCCCGGAGCCGCCCCGGCTCGCGCGTCGTGAACTCCGCCCCCGTCGTGAACTCCGCCCCCGTCGTGAACTCCGCCCCCGTCGTGAACTCCGCCCCCGTCGACCCCGAGCCCCCACGAGAGGGCCGCCCGCTCCATCCCCGCTCCTCCCGGCGCCATCCGCCGCGGCTCCTTCCCATTGGCCGGCTGGAGGTCGGGCACGCTGATTGGGAACATTCCGCCGATTCTCGTGATCCGGTTCAGGCTTTGACAAAGCACTCCGTGGTCCCGCCGCCGCCACCGGGGGGGGCGGGAGCACCCCGAATGTCTCGGCTCCGAGCCCCGCGTCGCTGAGCCGTGCACTCATCGCAGTAATTGATCGGCGGCTGTGTTGGCTGCTGTGTTGGCCGCTGTGTGAAAGTGTGTGTGAGTGATTGTACGAGTGTGTGTGTGTGATTGTACGAGTGTGTGTGATTGTACGAGTGTGTGTGTGATTGTACGAGTGTGTGTGATTGTACGAGTTTGTGAGTGTGTGTGTGTGATTGTACGAGTGTGTGTGTGTGATTGTACGGGTGCGTGTGTGATTGTGTGAGTGTGTGTGATTGTACGAGTGTGTGTGTGTGTGTGATTGTACGAGTTTGTGAGTGTGTGTGTGTGATTGTACGAGTGTGTGTGCGAGTGTACGAGTCCGTGTGTGTGTGTGATTGTACGAGTCCGTGTGTGTGTGTGATTGTACGAGTGTGTGTGTGATTGTACGAGTGTGTGTGTGATTGTACGAGTGAGTGTGTGATTGTACGAGTGTGTGTGTGTGATTGTACGAGTGTGTGAGTGTGTGTGTGTGATTGTACGAGTGTGTGAGTGTGTGTGTGTGATTGTACGAGTGTGTGAGTGTGTGTGTGTGTGATTGTACGAGTGTGTGTGTGTGATTGTACGAGTGTGTGTGTGTGATTGTACGAGTGTGTGTGTGAGAGTGTGTGTGTGGTGGGGAGCGATAGTGTAGCGGTTAGCGCACTGCGCTATGAACCCGGCGACACGGGTTCGATTCCCGCTCACGGTCAACACCAGTGACGATTATCTTAACCGGTCCCGGGCCTCCCCTAGGTCGACTCAGTCTCAAATGAGTACCTGGTGCAGTGTGTAAACATTGCCACTAGGGAGACAAAGGCGGTCGGGCGTGGTGCTGGCCACCAACCCCCTCGTGTACCGTTACCGGCCTTCATAGGTGCTCGCTAACAGCACTTGCCCCTACAGTCTGTTAAGGCTATATGGGGGATCTTTTTTATCTTTGTGTGTGTGTGAGAGTGTGAGTGTGTGAGTGTGTGTGTGAGTGTGTGTGTGTGATTGTACGAGTGTGTGTGTGTGTGTGATTGTACGAGTGTGTGTGTGAGTGTGTGTGTGTGATTGTACGAGTGTGTGTGTGATTGTACGAGTGTGTGTGTGAGTGTGTGTGTGATTGTACGAGTGTGTGTGTGAGTGTGTGTGTGTGATTGTACGAGTGTGTGTGTGAGTGTGTGTGTGTGATTGTACGAGTGTGTGTGTGATTGTACGAGTGTGTGTGTGAGTGTGTGTGTGATTGTACGAGTGTGTGTGTGATTGTACGAGTGTGTGTGTGAGTGTGTGTGTGATTGTACGAGTGTGTGTGTGATTGTACGAGTGTGTGTGTGAGTGTACGAGTGTGTGTGTGATTGTACGAGTGTGTGTGTGAGTGTGTGTGTGAGTGTGTGTGTGAGTGTGTGTGTGAGTGTGTGTGTGAGTGTGTGTGTGAGTGTGTGAGTGTGTGTGTGTGATTGTACGAGTGTGTGTGTGAGTGTACGAGTGTGAGTGTTTGATTGTGTGTAGAGCGGTAGCGTAGCGGTTAGCGCTTGTGCTATGAACCCGGCCACCCGAGCTCGATTCTCGTGCACGGCCAACACCAGCAACGATTCTCTGAATCGATTCTGGACCTCTCCTAGGTCGACTCAGCCAAAAATGGTGGTGCTGGCCACCCACCCTCCCGTGTGCCGTGCCGGCCTTCATAGGTGCCGCTCGCTACCAACACTTGCCCCAACAGTCTGCTACGGCTCCCTGGAGTGTCTTTGTGTGCACTCGACCCCCCCCACCCACCCCTCCCCTCTGTCCTCTCCGTGTTTGTTTGTCACTAATCCACTTTGTCTCCCAGCAGTTCCCATTAGAGCGCTATTCCCTGACGGCGCCACGCGTTAATATTATTATTAGTGATGCTGGTGCTGGTGGGGTGCTTTGCAGCGGTGATACACACGCACAGGCTCGCGCGCGCGTGCGTGTGTCTGTACGTGTGTCTCTACGTGTGTCTCTACGTGTCTCTCTAAGTGTGTCTCTACGTGTCTCTCTACGTGTGTCTCTACGTGTGTCTCTACGTGTCTCTCTAAGTGTGTCTCTACGTGTCTCTCTACGTGTGTCTCTACGTGCCTCTCTACGTGTGTCTCTACGTGTGTCTCTACGTGTCTCTCTACGTGTGTCTCTACGTGTCTCTCTACGTGTCTCTCTACGTGTGTCTCTACGTGTCTCTCTACGTGTGTCTCTACGTGTGTCTCTCTACGTGTCTCTCTACGTGTCTCTCTACGTGTGTCTCTACGTGTCTCTCTACGTGTGTCTCTACGTGTGTCTGTACGTGTGTCTGTACGTGTGTCTGTACGTGTGTCTCTACGTGTGTCTCTACGTGTCTCTCTAAGTGTGTCTCTACGTGTGTCTCTACGTGTCTCTCTACGTGTCTCTCTACGTGTCTCTCTACGTGTCTCTCTAAGTGTGTCTCTACGTGTCTCTCTACGTGTGTCTCTACGTGTGTCTCTACGTGCCTCTCTACGTGTGTCTCTACGTGTCTCTCTACGTGTGTCTCTACGTGTCTCTCTACGTGTGTCTCTACGTGCCTCTCTACGTGTGTCTCTACGTGTCTCTCTACGTGTGTCTCTACGTGTCTCTCTACGTGTGTCTCTACGTGTGTCTCTACGTGTGTCTCTACGTGTCTCTCTACGTGTGTCTCTACGTGTGTCTCTACGTGTCTCTCTACGTGTCTCTCTAAGTGTGTCTCTACGTGTGTCTCTACGTGTCTCTCTACGTGTCTCTCTACGTGTCTCTCTACGTGTCTCTCTAAGTGTGTCTCTACGTGTCTCTCTACGTGTCTCTCTACGTGTGTCTCTACGTGTGTCTCTCTACGTGTCTCTCTACGTGTCTCTCTACGTGTCTCTCTACGTGTGTCTCTACGTGTCTCTCTACGTGTGTCTCTACGTGTGTCTCTACGTGTCTCTCTACGTGTGTCTCTACGTGTGTCTCTACGTGTCTCTCTACGTGTCTCTCTACGTGTGTCTCTACGTGTCTCTCTACGTGTGTCTCTACGTGTCTCTCTACGTGTCTCTCTACGTGTGTCTCTACGTGTCTCTCTACGTGTGTCTGTACGTGTCTACGTGTGTCTCTACGTGTCTCTCTACGTGTGTCTCTACGTGTGTCTCTACGTGTCTCTCTACGTGTGTCTCTACGTGTGTCTCTACGTGTCTCTCTACGTGTGTCAGCGTTTTGCATGTGTCTGTGTGTGAGGAGCGGTGACGCAGTGGTTAGCGCACTTCGCTCCAAGCCCAGCGGCCGGAGTTCAGTGTGCGCTCGCCGCCATTAACGGTGGTGAATATTTAAAGCGGTCCCGGGCCTCCCCTAGGTCGACTCGGACTTAAACGAGTACCTGGTGCGGTGTGTAAACGTGAGCACTGGGGAGACAAAGGCGGTCGGGCGTGGTGCTGGCCACCTGCCCCCTCGTGCTCTATGACGTCCTTCATGCATGCGTGTTAAGCCGTACGTAGCCAATCACGTTAGTCATAAGTACTACTCGCTAACAGCACTTGCCCCGACAGCCTGTGTAGGCTACATGGGGGATCTGTGTCTGTTGTGTGTATGTGTCTCACCATCCTGCCTGTGTGTCTGCCTGTCTGTCTGCCTGTCTCACTGTCTCTGCTGCTTCTCTCCATCGGTAGAATCTGCTTGCCTCTCTGTCCGCTTGCCTTGCCTGTGTTTCTGCCTGCCTGCCACTTTGTACATCTATCTATATACCCCCCCCCCCCCCCCCATCCGTCTGCACGTGTGTCTGTCTGCCTGGCCATCTGTCTCTCAACCTGTCTGCCTGTCTGTCTGCCCCCACCCCTTCTGCTGCACTTCCTCCTCCTTCTCCACCCTGCCTCCACCCCTTCTGCTGCACCTCCTCCTTCTCCACCCTGCCCCCACCCCTTCTGCTGCACCTCCTACTCCACCTTGCCTCTTCCCCTTCTGCTGCACCTCCTCCTTCTCCACCCTGCCTCCACCCCTTCTGCTGCACCTCCTCCTTCTCCACCCTGCCCCCACCCCTTCTGCTGCACCTCCTACTCCACCTTGCCTCTTCCCCTTCTGCTGCACATCCTCCTTCTCCACCCTGCCTCCACCCCTTCTGCTGCACCTCCTCCTTCTCCACCCTGCCTCCACCCCTTCTGCTGCACCTCCTACTCCACCTTGCCTCCACCCCTTCTGCTGCACCTCCTTCTTCTCCACCCTGCCTCCACCCCTTCTGCTGCACCTCCTCCTCCTTCTCCACCCTGCCTCCACCCCTTCTGCTGCACCTCCTACTCCACCTTGCCTCCACCCCTTCTGCTGCACTTCCTCCTTCTCCACCCTGCCTCCACCCCTTCTGCTGCACCTCCTACTCCACCCTGCCCCCACCCCTTCTGCTGCACCTCCTTTTCCACCCTGCCCCCACCCCTTCTGCTGCACCTCCTTCTCCACCCTGCCCCCACCCCTTCTGCTGCACCTTCTCCACCCTGCCTCCACCCCTTCTGCTGCACCTCCTCCTCCACCCTGCCCCCACCCCTCCTCCTCCTCCCCCACCCCTTCTCCACCCCCACAGAAGCTGCATCTGCCCCCGGATCTCTCGGACACCGCGAGCCGCTCTGGCCCCAACGCCTCGGCCTGTGGGGGGGCCGCCACAACATCCAGCCTGGATTTCTGACATTGTGGATTCCGGATTCTCAGAAAATGGATTCTGCAACAAGGGATTCTTGGATCATGGAGACTTGATCCCAGATGGGGATTCTCAGATCTCAGATATTGAATCTCAGATTCTGGGATCCTGGATCCTGCATTTTATTTTGGGGGATTTCATAGATGTTTACTATTATCTGGAGAACATTTACAGATATAAGGATATGCCACGTGAAGTTGTGCAAGGCTTGCTGCTGATAGGAGGTCATGGGACAGACCCAATTGTTATGGGTTGACTGACTGAGATGACTGGCAGATGCACCACCTGTGCTCTGTACTGTAGCAACTTGCTGCGTTTTAGCCGCCCGGTGCTCTGTTGTTGTGAGCATCGCTCATCTGTCCTCCGCTGTTGTTGGAGGGCGACTGCCTCCAATTGCCCAGTAACATCCTTCACGAGCCTCCTCAGAGGCCGATCTTGAGACCGCTGATACCAATCATTGGCAAGTTCACTCGTCTCCACGTCTTCCTGTGCAAGTTCACTCGGCTCCACATTAGTCCATCTCTTCTCCGGCCCGTGCCACGTGCCCGTTTAGCCCCCTCGATCCGGGCAAACAGAAGCTGCTTGGGCATGCGGTGGGGATTTAACCGGCGACACTCCGTGCGTCAACAGCACGTTCCAGTGAGAGATGCAGCCACGGAAGCTGCTCGCGATCGAGGTGTCGTGAGGTGTAACGAGGTGTAACGTGACGCGTGTTTATCTTGTAAAGCGATGATGACGACAACAGCTCGGCGCGTGTACGCATTGGTGCTGGTGAGCTGTGTGTGGTGAGCTTTGAACGGGTGCCAGTGAGCTGTGCGGTCACTCTTAGGCTGACGCACACGCGGACCCACATATACACCCCAATATGCACACACACTCATCCACGTACGCACCTACACACATCAACACCACACAGCACACACTCAGCCACACCACACACCCAGCCACACACACACGCACGCACACACAACTCGCACATTACACAAAGCACACACCCATCCACATTACACCCACACACACGCATGCACACACTGGGCGACTCAGAGAAGCCACAGGGCACGAGGCTGGAGGAAGCCGATGTGGAGTCTTTATTTATTTTCATTATAAACGGTCGGACAAAGCTCGGGGGGGGGGGGGTGACGGGGAGCATGGGGGAGAGGGGGGGGTATTTACACGGTGACTCGCGACTGGGGGTCAGATACAAGAGAGGTGTGAGGGGGGGGTAGCAGGATTGAGGACTCCACGGGGGGTGGGGGAGGTCCACGAATCGCAGTCGCTGCTCCACTCAATCCAGCCCGACCCCCCCACCACCTCTACTACGAGGATTGGAATAGCCCAGATCCTGCCTGCGTTGGTGACCATGGCGCGTTTCATTGCGCAGTGCAGCCACAAGCCGGGGGGAGGGAGGGGGGCTGGGGGGGGGGGGGTCACATCCGAGCGACAAAGTCGCGCAATGAACCCGCTCTCGATCCCGCACGACCGCAACGAATCGCCCTCGGCCGCTTTGTTCGCGTCCGAGCGAGGAGTTGCGCAACGTGGGGCATGAGACGGGGGGCGCCTTCGGGGTCGTGAGGGGCCAATCGGCGTCACGGTGACGGAGGCGTGCGCGGGGTTAGCGGCCCGGGAGAGGCGTGGTGCGCGCGACTCGTCTCTCCCGCGTGGGGCGCGAGCAACTCCGTGGACTCGTGTCCGTAGTCCAAGGTCGAGGCGCAGCCCTGAACTGTCTCGCTCAAGCCACTGCTGGCAGAAGGCGACCTCCAGCCACGGAGGAATCCCCAGAGAACCCCCTGTGGAAGATGTTTGGCCTACACTGCCACGCCGGCCAAACGTCTTGGAAGAGGTGGGAGTACAACCACACTCTACCCCGCGTCACGCGACCAGCCAATCGACTGAACGGCCCGCGTACACTTGGGCGCGCCAATCGGTGCATTCGTTACGTCGCGACTGGTACCGGTAACCGGTTTCTGGCTTTCTAAACCGGTAACAGATTCGGAAACACGAGCGGTTTGCGGGTGATCGTCCGCGTCGGGCTGGTCCCGTTTCAGGGCGACGATGCAACTCCCACGCCACTCTGAAGCCCACGAAGCCAAGGGGGAGGAGTGGGGGTGGGGGTTGATTTTCTCTCCGTTCTTGAGTCGCCCACACCTCGAGGCTCCTTGTTGCGTCACAGAGGTTCGCGGTTCGAATGGAGCGGGACGCCCTGGTTATCACCCGAACGTGACGACTGCTACCGCCGCCTGCGTCGTCGTCGTCATTTGCAGCAGTAGGCCATTGTGTGACCGTCCTCATGATTCCAGATTTGGCAAATTCGACAATTATCTCGCAAAGTAATTACTCGATTGGGATTATAAATTCAGCCGCAATCATCGCCACCCCACCCGGCAGCAGTAGGGGCGGCGAGTGGGGTCAGGCCTCGGGTCCCTCTTGCACAACGAGACTCCGATGCAGCTGACCTCTCCCCTGGCTCCACAGAACCGACTTGCGACCTCGCCTCGAGACGCGACCTTTGCGCGGGGGCCGGGCTGTTTCGTCCGAGCGAGCGTTTTCTGCACGCTGCACCGATGCGTGTACCTTGTAGCTACCCGCAACAGGCTGTACGGACCCTGTCCTGAAATTCACCTGAAGGTTTTGACTCGTTTTGTTTTGGGGCCTTGGGAGTAACGGAGCGATGGTGAGAGATCAGCTCGTGGTGCAGTCGGGTCAGGTGCCGGCCGGGTTTACATCGTGTGACCCCGGCCTTCATCCAGCAGTGGATTGATCACGGCTGATGATGATTTTTGTTTTCAATCGGCCTCATGATTCGTCGGTCTTGCCAACCCGATCCGGCTCCTTGCAATCTACGATCAAAAACACACGTGAAGGCGCAGCCCTGCAATTGCTCGCCCACGCCACTGCCGGCAGATGAGGCCTCCAATAGAGAACGCTGCAGGGAGCCTCTCCAACGCGACCTCATTATCGGAGACGATGATGATGAGTCTTCTTTGGTTCTTTCGGTAAAGTCACGTATTTTATTTTATCAATTTATTATTTTATTCTCATTCTACGTGACTTTACCGAAAGAACCAAAGAAGATGAATCATTGCAGTCACGAAAGCTTTAAATCGAGATGATGATGAGGTCGCGTTGAGATGGCGCGATTTTCATCTCCGGCCGCGAGTTCGACGGCTCGTTGGGTGGGTTGACTCGGCCCACCGCCCCTTGGCTCCCGCGGGCTACTCACACGTGCAGGGGATGCCTCTGCCATGCGAGCCACCCAGTTGGAGGATTTCCCGTCGCATGGCCGTGACACCGACAGCGCAGTTGGGATCGCATTTGGCGGAGGAATTTACGAATTGCAGCCCGATCATCACCACCACCACCACCATCACAGAAGTGATTGAGGAGTTTGTACGGAAGAGTGACCCCGGGTGTTAGCGACTTGAGTTGGAGTCGGGACGAGGGTGGGGCGGGTGAGAGGGAACGCAGGGAGAGATTTTTGTTTTACAATTTTATTTTATCGTTTATGGAAACGGAGCGGGAGTAAGAGGGTCACGGGAGGGAGGGGGGAGGGGGTAATGGATGGATGGGTTCGACTCGAGGGCAGGGTTTGAGTTGTCGTGACCAAGCGAGTAACACGGGACACACACGCACTCGGGACGAATATTAATTAATAATATGAATAATTATAGTAATTACAGATAACCCACACGTTTAACTGCTGTGGAAACGATGATGACGCCATTACGCCACGAGAGACCTCCAATCCCTCCCTCCACGCACCACCAGCCCACTGCACGTGGCATTGCTCGTGCCAATGGCATCTGCCGATGCAGCAGCACGTGTTCAATGCGCCTTGCGTTAACGAGCCCGACTGCTGATGAGACCCGTGAAGTCGAAACCGCTCCGCAGTTTGGGCCAAACAGATCCTGCTGGGGCTGTCTGCGGCCTCAGCCGTGGGAGTGGAGACGGAGCAAGGCGCCTGTCGAGATTGGCTCCCACAGCCACGCACAGCCACGGGTTTCTAACCCTGTGACGGGGTGGTGGCCACGGTGGTGAGTCAAGCGAACGTGCATATTGTTTTAATGATTATAATTTGTCATTGTACCTCGTTGGTTTTTGTTGCTGTACAAGTGGCAGTGTACACTTTGTCTCGTCCCAATTAATTGATTCCGCTTCTCTATTTGTGATTAAAAGACCCAGATCAGATGACTGGGGAATTGATTTTTACTTGGGCTGATTGGTAAGTGGGGGTGGAGGGACGGGGGCGGGGTTAATTGCGTGGGGGGTGGGGGGGGGTCACGTCAGGTCAGTTTGACCCCGACAGGGATTGCGAACCCTGACCCCACAATTGGGTCCGGAGGTGGTCGGGGGTTCAGTGGTTTGGGGGTTCAGGGCGGGTGGGAGGGGTGATCGAGGGGGGGTACCCCCACCCCGCCCCTCCTCCACCCCTTCCTCCTAGCCCCACCGCCCACCGCAGGAGAGAGGAAGCGCGCTACTGTAGACGCGGCCCGTATTGGGGGAGATCCGGGTCAGTACCAGGTACCTGCACGGGAACCGAGACCCCCGGGGAGATGAGCCCTGTAAGGGGGGGGGGAGGAAGCAGGGGGGGGGGGAGATGGGGGGGGGGGTGATGGGTGTCAGGGGGGGATAAGGGGAGGGGGGCGGGCGAGTTTCAGCAAAACATTGCCGGCATATTCCCTACCGCCCACACACCCCCTCGCAACACATCCCACTGGACAGTGCGTGTGTGCCGTGTGCCAGTGCTGCGTGTGTGTGTGCCAGTGCTGCGTGTGTGTGTGCCAGTGCTGCGTGTGTGCCGTGTGCCAGTGCGTGTGTGTGCCAGTGCGTGTGTGCCAGTGCTGCGTGTGTGTGTGCCAGTGCTGCGTGTGTGTGCCAGTGCTGCGTGTGTGCCAGTGTTCACGGCTGTGTGCGCGCGTGCACGTTGCTGTGCTTGTGTGGTCGATTGATTGGCTGTGCGTCCCCGCAAGCAGCCCGTGTCCGGATGTGTGCGCTTGAGCACCCGGGTGCCAGTGCGCGTGTGTGCCGATGAAGCAGTGTGTGCCGATGAAGCAGTGTGTGCCGATGAAGCAGTGTGTGCCGATGAAGCAGTGTGTGCCGATGAAGCAGTGTGTGCCGATGAAGCAGTGTGTGCCGATGAAGCAGTGTGTGCCGATGAAGCAGTGTGTGCCGATGAAGCAGTGTGTGCCGATGAAGCAGTGTGTGCCGATGAAGCAGTGTGTGCCGATGAAGCAGTGTGTGCCGATGAACCAGTGTGTGCCGATTAACCAGTGTGGGCCGATTAACCAGTGTGTGCCGATGAAGCAGTGTGTTCGCGCGTGTATCTCGTGTACCAGTGCGTGAGCGTTCCCGTGCACTGGTATACCTGCTCACCTGTATACCCGTGTACCAGTTTGTCAGTGTACCAGTGTGTCAGTGTACCAGTGTACCAGTGTGTCAGTGTGCCCGTGTGTCAGTGTGTCAGTGTACCAGTGTGTCAGTGTGTCAGTGTACCAGTTTGTCAGTGTACCAGTGTGTCAGTGTGTCAGTGTACCAGTGTGTCAGTGTGTCAGTGTACCAGTGTGTCAGTGTACCAGTGTACCAGTGTGTCAGTGTACCAGTGTGTCAGTGTACCAGTGTGTCAGTGTACCAGTGTGTCAGTGTACCAGTGTGTCAGTGTACCAGTGTACCAGTGTGTCAGTGTACCAGTGTGTCAGTGTGCCCGTGTGTCAGTGTACCAGTGTGTCAGTGTGTCAATGTACCAGTGTACCAGTGTGTCAGTGTACCAGTGTGTCAATGTACCCGTGTGTCAGTCTGCCAGTGTGTCAGTGTACCAATGTGCCCATGTGTCAGTGTGCCAGTGTGTCAGTGTGCCCGTGTGTCAGTGTGCCAGTGTGCCAGTGTACCTGCGTGCCTGCGTGCCCGTGTGTCAGTGTACCAGTGTGTCAGTGTGCCAGTGTGTCAGTGTACCAGTGTGTCAGTGTAACAGTGTGTCAGTGTGCCAGTGTGTCAGTGTACCAGTGTGTCAGTGTACCAGTGTGTCAGTGTGCCCGCGTGCCAGTGTACCCGCGTGTCAGTGTACCAGTGTGTCAGTGTACCCATGTGTCAGTGTGTCAGTGTGCCAGTGTGTCAGTGTACCAGTGTGTCAGTGTACCAGTGTGTCAGTGTACCAGTGTGTCAGTGTACCAGTGTGTCAGTGTGCCCGTGTGTCAGTGTACCAGTGTACCAGTGTGTCAGTGTACCAGTGTGTCAGTGTACCAGTGTGTCAGTGTACCAGTGTGTCAGTGTGCCCGTGTGTCAGTGTACCAGTGTACCCGTGTGCCCGTGTGTCATTGTGCCCGTGTGTCAGTGTGCCAGTGTGTCAGTGTACCAGTGTGTCAGTGTGTCAGTGTGCCAGTGTGTCAGTGTACCAGTGTGTCAGTGTACCAGTGTGTCAGTGTGCCCGCGTGCCTGCGTGCCCGCTCACCCGTGGAGGAGGGCCCCGTGCCCATGTGGCCCGCCTGCATGTGTGGCGGCGTGTACGTGTCGTAGGCGCGCGAGGACGAGGGGTTGGAGGGCAGCATGCACGAGTAGGAGGCCGTCTGCGTGCCCACGCCGGGCTGAGCGCGGAGGCGCGCCGCGCGGTCCCAGTCACACACCAGCCGCGCGGCCGTGGCGACGGGTCACGCGGGCACGCACACGGACACAAGCACGCGCACGGACACACGCACGGGCACGCGCACGTGCACGGACACACGCACGGGCACACGCACAGACACGCGCACGGATACGCGCACGCATACGCGCACGGACACGCGCACAGGTACACGCACGGGCACGCGCACGAGCACGCGCATGCGCACGGGCACGCACACGGACACGCGCACGGGGACGCACACGGGCACGCACACGGACACACGCACGGGCACGCGCACGGGCATTCGCACGGGCACGCGCACGGGCACGGACACACGCACGGGTACACGCACGGACACACGCACACACAATCATAGCCTTAACGCGCTCATCATAGTGGACATTCTTATACACATTATCAGTCGTGGGTCTGTGGGTCTCTCGCTCTGTCCCTGTGCATCCGTGTCTCTCCCTGCTCCGTGTCTCCTTGTTCCTCCCGCTCCATCTTCCTCTGTCTCCCCCTACCCCGTTTATCTTTGGGTCCCCGTGACTCCCAGTATACCAGTGTCTCCGTGTCCCCCTGCCTGGCCTCGTGTCTCTCTGTGTGTCTCCGTCTCTCCCCGTGTCTCCCAGTATCTCCATGTGTCTCTGTGTGTCTCCCTGCCTGGCCTTGTATCTCTCTGTGTCTCCGTCTCTCCCCGTGTCTCCCCGTGTGTCTTCGTGTGTCTGCGTCTCACCTGCACGGGGAGGTTCCCCGCCATGCTGAAGCTGGGCATGGAGGGTAGAGCCCCGTACGAGCCCCCTAGCATCGAGTCGCTACGGCCCAGCATCGCGCCTTGGGGAGCACGGACGGCAGGGGGGGGGGGGCACGGGGGGGGGGCACGGCGGGGGGGGGGGGTTCGAGAGATTCACGCGTGGGGCGAAGCCGCGCGTGGCCACGTGGTCACGTGTCTCACGCAGAGCGGGCCGACAATGCGGGGGCGGGCGGGAGGGGGACATCAAAACGAACCGAGGCTGCGATGCCCGTCGTTTCGTAGGACTGGTGCACTATCACACTGGTACACTGGTACACGTACTATCACACTGGTACACTGGTACACGTACTATCACACTGGTACACTGGTACATGTACTATCACACTGGTACACTGGTACACGTACTATCACACTGGTACACTGGTACACGCACTGGTACACGCACTATCACACTGGTACACGCACTATCACACTGGTACACTGGTACACGCACTATCACACTGGTACACTGGTACACGTACTATCACACTGGTACACTGGTACACGCACTATCACACTGGTACACTGGTACACGCACTATCACACTGGTACACTGGTACACGCACTATCACACTGGTACACGCACTATCACACTGGTACACTGGTACACGTACTATCACACTGGTACACTGGTACACGCACTATCACACTGGTACACTGGTACACGCACTATCACACTGGTACACCCACTATCACGCAGGTACACGCACTGGCACACGCACTGGCACACTGGTACACGCACTATCACACTGGTACACGCACTATCACACTGGTACACGCACTATCACACTGGTACACACACTGGCACACTGGTACACGCACTATCACACTGGTACACTCACTATCACACTAGTACACTGGTACACGCACTATCACACTGGTACACGCACTATCACACTGGTACACGCACTATCACACTGGTACACCCACTATCACACTGGCACACGCACTGGCACACTCGCTGGCACACGCACTATCACACTGGTACACGCACTATCACGCAGGTACACGCACTATCACGCAGGTACACACACTGGCACACTCGCTGGTACACGGGTGACACGCACGACACGCACTCACTGGCACGCGGACTCTGTGGAAGGATCGTGGTGGCGTTCGTGATGAGGCGTGGTGATGATGGCGTGGGCGTCACGGTGGAGCTGACGATCGACCTTGATGATGGAGACTGTGGTGAAGGAGGTGGAACGTGGTGGACGAGGTGGACGAGGTGGGGGAGTGGGGAGAGGGGGTGGGGGTACCGGGAGCCGCGGGCTGCGCCAGGGGCTGGTAGACCCCGGCGCTGAAGTTGCTGCTGATGGGGATGTGACTGCTCGAGGGGATCCCTCCCCCGGCCCCCGCGGGACCCCCTCCCCCCACTCCCCCCTGCCGCCTCTGATTGCGCAACTTCTCCTCGCGCCTCCACTTGGCACGGCGGTTAGAGAACCACACCTGTGTGGTTAGAGACACGTGGTGTGAGAACCACGGCTGTGTGGTTAGAGACACGTGGTGTGAGAACCACGGCTGTGTGGTTAGAGACACGTGGTGTGAGAATCACACCACGTGGTGTGAGAACTACACCTGTCTGGTTAGACACGTGGTGTGAGAACCACACCTGCGTGGTTAGACACGTGGTGTGAGAACCACGCCTGTGTAGTTAGAGACACGTGGTGTGAGAACCACACCTGTGTGGTTAGACACGTGGTGTGAGAACCACACCTGTGTGGTTAGAGACACGTGGTGTGAGAACCACGCCTGTGTGGTTAGAGACACGTGGTGTGAGAACCACACCTGTGTGGTTAGAGACACGTGGTGTGAGAACCACACTTGTGTGGTTAGAGACACGTGGTGTGAGAACCACACCTGTGTGGTTAGAGACACGTGGTGTGAGAACCACACCACGTGTGGTTAGACACGTGGTGTGAGAACCACGCCTGTGTGGTTAGAGACACGTGGTGTGAGAACCACGCCTGTGTGGTTAGACACGTGGTGTGAGAACTACGCCTGTGTGGTTAGAGACACGTGGTGTCAGAACCAATCTCAGTTTAACATGTAGGCTTTCGCGACCAATATTATTCATAATAAAGGTTTTTCGGTTAGATCGCGTTAATTTATAAATGTGTCGTAACCCTCCACCACCCGACAGCATCATCGGGCAATTCTGCCGAATTGCCCGATGATGCTGGATGTGTTTACCAGCGAAACGTCGTACTCAAACTGTAAATGTGGATTCACTCTTCAACACACCGGTGGGCTAAAGTAGTGAATTATTTGTCTTTTTGTCAACGTGACACTTTTTTTGCTGATTGGCCGTGTCGGGTGGTGGAGGGTTACGACACATTTGTAAATAAACGCGATCTAACCCAAAAACCTTTATTATGAAGAACCAATCTCATCTACACCACGCGCTTGCCACGTTGCTTTCCCCATCCTCCCCCATCCTGCCCACTCGCGCCACTCACCTACCACGTTCCCTTCCGGACCCCTTCCCGGCTTCTCCTGTCTCGCCACGGAATTCCCGGCATCCACCTGAGCTCAATTCCCAAGGACTGTCCCTGCCCACGCGCTGGGGCTGTGGCCGCGCTTTTCGAGCCGCACGCAGCCACGGGCACCGTTGTGCAGGTGCAGCCTCCACCCAGGTGTAGGTCACGTGGCACCCCGACGACAACCCCCCACTCCCTCTCTCGAACCCCCACCCTCACCTGTCCATCGCCCCTCACTCGGCTCTGCCTGTCTGCCCTCTGCTGTCAACGCTCCAGATAGGCCCTGGGACAAGGATCCTCCAACTGGACACTGAGAGACTAGGCCCTGGGACAAGGATCCTCCAACTGGACACTGAGAGACTAGGCCCTGGGACAAGGATCCTCCAACTGGACACTGAGGGACTAGGCCCTGGGACAAGGATCCTCCAACTGGACACTGAGAGACTAGGCCCTGGGACAAGGATCCTCCAACTGGACACTGAGAGACTAGGCCCTGGGACAAGGATCCTCCAACTGGACACTGAGAGACTAAGCCCTGGGACAAGGATCCTCCAACTGGACACTGAGGGACTAGGCCCTGGGACAAGGATCCTCCAACTGGACACTGAGAGACTAGGCCCTGGGACAAGGATCCTCCAACTGGACACTGAGAGACTAGGCCCTGGGACAAGGATCCTCCAACTGGACACTGAGAGACTAGGCCCTGGGACAAGGAGAAATCGCAGCGAGACACTCAGCGGTTCGCGACGCGGTTACCTGGCTTGGCCACGTGACTGTGTAATTGTAGTTCTTGCTCTGCATCTACATCGGCCGTACGACAGAAGAAGACGAAGACCTGTCTCCCATCACCCTCACCTGTCTCCCACCCCTCCCTCACCTGTCTCCTCCCCCCCTCACCTGTCTCCCACCCCCCTCACCTGTCTCCTCCCCCCCCTCACCTGTCTCCCACCCCCCTCACCTGTCTCCCACCCCTCCCTCACCTGTCTCCCACCCCCCCCTCACCTGTCTCCCACCCCTCCCTCACCTGTCTCCCACCCCTCCCTCACCTGTCTCCCACCCCCCCCTCACCTGTCTCCCTCCCCTCCCTCACCTGTCTCCCACCCCCTCTCACCTGTCTCCCACCCCTCCCTCACCTGTCTCCCAGCCCCCCCTCACCTGTCTCCCAGCCCTCCCTCACCTATCCCTCGACCCCCTTCACCTGGATTCGCGCTTCGGGGAGGTCTATTTTCGAGGCGAGTCGCTCCCGCGCGAACACGTCTGGGTAGTGAGTCCTCTCGAACTCTGCAGCCACACAACAACCACCACAACAGAGACACTGAAACAACTACGGCAACCACAACAGCGACCACCACAACAGTGTGGATATCATGGTAGGTCCGCGTACATTTATGTAGATGTGTGTCTGTGTACACGTGGATGTGTGTGCACATAGCCTGGCACAGGCGCCGTGGTGACGTCACCGCCACTCAGCGGCGAATGGCGGTTGTGTGCGTGTGTGCTCACACGTGGATGTGTGTGTGCTCACACGTGTATGTGTGTGTGTGTGTGCTCACACGTGTGTGTGTGTGTGCTCACACGTGGATGTGTGTGTGTGTGCGCACGCGTGGATGTGTGTGTGCGCACGTGTAGATGTGTGTGTGTGCTCACGCGTGGATGTGCACACACGAAGATGCGTGTACATGTGGATTCGCGAGAAACCGTTGATGCACGGGGCTCTGAGCACACGTGTGTACCCCGTTCCATGTAAAGTGTACACGTGGGTACGCGTGAATGTGTGTATGTACACGTGGGTACGCGTGAATGTGTGTATGTACACGTGGCTCGGTGTACACGTCGTGTGTACCCGTGCATACCTGTACACGTGCATTGCGTGAATTCAACGCAAAGCACTCGGGGTTGATTGGTGACTCAGCAATCACCGATTCACTCCGGCCCCTCGCGCAATCACCGGAGGCCAGTTGCCCCCTCGTCACTCTTTTATCGCTACTGCTGCCATGATGACTGCTCCCTTGAACGTCACTCACTGATTCCTCCACCCGTTTTGAGGAGTTACCCACCCACCCACCGAACCGCTCACCCACCACTCATTCACTCACCCACCACTCATTCACTCACCCGCCACTCATTCACTCACCCACCACTCACCCACCACTCACCCACTCACCGAACCGCTCATTCACCCACCCACCACTCATTCACTCACCCACCATTCACCCACCACTCACCCACTCACCGAACCGCTCATTCACCCACCCACCACTCATTCACTCACCCACCACTCACCCACTCACCGAACCGCTCATTCACCCACCCACCACTCATTCACTCACCCACCACTCACCCCACCACTCACCCACTCACCGAACCGCTCATTCACCCACCCATTCGCCCAATCAACCACCCACTCACTCACCGACCCGATCATTCACCCACCCACCACTGACCCACGCACCCAATAACCCACCCATCTCACTACACTGCTCCAATCGAGTTGTCCACGTGGTGAACGATTATGGTTGAACAATTGGCAATATACCTACACGATATGACCCAAAATAAACCAACGATTAAACGAATTATTAATCATTTGACAGTGATGTTTGTCGCTGGCCGTTTGACGTTTTGGGCCAGGCACACAAAGACAAAGATCCGCCGTATAGCCTTGTCCGGCTGTTGGGGCAAGTGCTGTTTCCCTATGAAGACCGGCTGGGCGCACGAGGGGGTAGGCAGGTGGCCAAAACCACGACCGGTCGCCTTTGTCTCCCTAGTGGCGATGTTTACACACAACACCAGGTACTCAGTGAAGGCTAAGTCGACCTAGGGCACGCCCAGGACCGGTTCAGATAATCGTCACTTGTGTTGCCCGTGAGCGAGAATCGAACTTGGGTAATCGGGTTCGTAGCGCAGCGCGCTAACTGCTGCATTACCGGTCCCCACACAATCACACACATGTACAACCACTCATAACACCCTCACCGCGACCCTACAGCACACACATAGACACGCACACTCGCACACACACGCACGCACATGCACGCACACACATGCACGCACACACGTGCACGCACACACGTGCACGCACACACGTGCACGCACACACGTGCACGCACACACACACACATGCACGCACACACGTGCACGCACACACACACACACACATGCACGCACACACGTGCGCACACACATGCACGCACACACGTGCGCACACACGCACGCACGCACACAAACACGCGCACACACGATTTTCACTCCCCACCTTTCTCGAGCGCCTCGATCTGCTCCGGGGTGAACGAGGTGCGGTTCCTCTGCAGCTTCCTCTTCAGCTGCAGCCGCATCTGGGCCTCCTCCGAGTCGTCGCTCGCAGAACTCGCAGCTCCGTTCTCGCCCCCACCGCCAGCCCCGCCCCCCGCGGAGCCCACCCCGCCGGCTCCGCCCCCCGCGGAGCCCCCCCCACCGGCCCCTCCCCCCAGCTTGTGCGACTGAACGCATCCGTCTGCACGCGCGGTGAGCGGTGGCGCGGCGGTTAGCGCACCGCGCTCGAACCACGCGACCCGAAATCGATTTCCGCTCGCGGCCAACAAACGGTGACAAGGGGGTGCAGCGTCAAGGCGGAGTCGAGGTTGGGGGCAGGGTGGAGTCGAGATTGGGGGCAAGGCGGAGTCGAGGTTGGGGGCTAGGTGGAGTCGAGGTTGGGGGCAAGGTGGAGTCGAGGTTGGGGGCAAGGCGGAGTCGAGGTTAGGGGGCAAGGTGGAGTCGAGGTTGGGGGCAAGGCGGAGTCGAGTATGGGGGCAAGGTGGAGTCGAGGTTGGGGGCAAGGCGGAGTCGAGTTGGGGGCAAGGCGGAGTCGAGGTTGGGGGCAAGGCGGAGTCGAGGTTGGAGGCAAGGCGGAGTCGAGGTTGGGGGCAAGGTGGAGTCGAGGTTGGGGGCAAGGTGGAGTCGAGGTTGGGGGCAAGGTGGAGTCGAGGTTGGGGGCAAGGCGGAGTCGAGGTTGGGGGCAAGGCGGAGTCGAGGTTGGGGGCAAGGTGGAGTCGAGGTTGGGGGCAAGGCGGAGTCGAGGTGGAGTGGCGTTAAGAGTCAAGATAGAGTCGCGTAGGAGGGGGGGTTGTAGGGGGGGGAGTAGGAGGGGGGGGAGTAGGAGGGGGGGAGTGGAAGGGGGGGTAGGAGGGGGAGAGTAGGGGACCGTACCGGCTGAGAGGGGGCTGCCGGGGTACCAGGCGGACCGCGCCGCCCACTCGACCCCCCCTTGCCCCCCGTTGAGCAGCCGCAGTTTGTCGTAGACGCCGTCGGTGCCCCCCATCCCCTGCTTCTCGCTCGCCAGGTTGCGCAGCACCCGATTGATGGATGACACCTGTGCGGGCGAGAGACGCGCGCGCTGTGGCGGTGGCGGCCCAGTTGCTCATTCAGCCATCGGCTCGCCAACTCGCCCGGTCACTCGCTCGTCCGCTCGCCCTCACGCTCGTCCGCACCAACTCACCTGCTCACTCACCCCAATCACTCACCCCAATCACTCACTCACTCAGTTGCCCAGACGCCCACCGATCCACGCACGCACTCACTCCATCCCCTAACCCCCACCACTCACGCTGGGGATGTCGTCGCTGATCCCCCCCACACCTCCCCCCACCACTCACGCTGGGGATGTCGTCGCTGATCCCCCCCCCCACACCTCCCCCCACCACTCACGCTGGGGATGCTGTCGCTGGTGCCCCCCACACCTCCCCCCACCACTCACGCTGGGGATGCTGTCGCTGGTGCCCCCCACACCTCCCCCCACCACTCACGCTGGGGATGTCGTCGCTGATCCCCCCCACACCTCCCCCCACCACTCACGCTGGGGATGTCGTCGCTGATCCCCCCCACACCTCCCCCCACCACTCACGCTGGGGATGTTGTCGCTGGTGCCCCCCACACCTCCCCCCACCACTCACGCTGGGGATGTTGTCGCTGATCCCCCCCACACCTCCCCCCACCACTCACGCTGGGGATGTTGTCGCTGGTGCCCCCCACACCTCCCCCCACCACTCACGCTGGGGATGTTGTCGCTGGTGCCCCCCACACCTCCCCCCACCACTCACGCTGGGGATGTTGTCGCTGGTGCCCCCCACACCTCCCCCCACCACTCACGCTGGGGATGTTGTCGCTGGTGCACACTCCGTCGGAGAGGAGGCGGTCGCGGATCTCCCAGGCAAAGATGGAGGGGCACTCCCGCTTGTACTGCGCGATCTTCCCCACCACCTCGGGCGTGGCCACGCGCGGCTTGCTGCCGCCGATGGCTCGCGGGCGGATGGAGCCCGTCTCGTAGTAGCGGCCCAGGATCTTGCTCACGCAGCCGTTGGACACCTGCACTCGAGAGGAGCGCTGCTGCGTTAAACAGCGTGCGACAACGGGCGCGCTCACTCCCTCCTCCCGCACCCTCGCTCACCTCGTCAGCAGCAGCAGCAGCAACATCAGCAGCAGCAGCAGTAACATCATCATCAGCAGTAGCAGTAACATCATCAGCAGCAGCAGCAGTAACATTATCAGCAGTAGCAGTAACACCATCAACATCAGGAGCAGCAGCACAACTCGATAATCATCATGATCAGCAGCAGCTACCTCATCATTAGTAGCAGCAACCTTAGCAGTAGCAGTAGTCTCATCATCGGCGTGGTTATGTTATCATAATTGTCATCATCATTATCAATCAGCACCATCAATCATCGTCAACCTCTTCCATCATTATCAACGCCCCCTCAATCATCATCGTCGTCAAGTCATCATCAACCTCCTCCAACATCTCCACCAACACCACCACTACCACCTCCACCACCTCCACTGCCACCGCCATCACCTCCACCACGACCACTTCCACCATCACCTCCATCACCTCCACCACCTCCACCACGTCCACTATTCCGCTCGACCACTTTGCTTCTCAAAAACCATGCCGAGTCATCTCAGAGTCGCATCGTTAACATCATCATCGTTAACATCATCATCGTTAACATCATCATCATCATTACCATGAGTCAAGTTTAATCCACTGCTGGATGAAGGCCTCCCGAACCCGTTGCCACCTCTTACGATCCCGCAATGTAAAAATTACAATCCACCCGGCATCTGCACGCGAGCGGACATCATCGCTCCATCTCCCAGGCGGCCTTCCTCCTCTCGGACGCGTGTCCCTGCACGTGGCTGCCACTCCGTAATCAGTCTCGACCACGGTGACGCGTCCTGCCTGAGCCCCCCTCACTGTCAGTGGCTCTCAACGTACACACGGTGCATACCACAGACAAAGACCCCCTTGGTAGCCTACGTATGCTGTTGGGGAAAGTGTTATTAGCAAGAACCGATCAGGGTTTTGTGGTGGCACACGAAGGGTCAGAACGACGCCCGGCTGCCTTTGTCTCCCCACTACTGGGTTCGTAGCGCAGGAAGTGACCACTGTCACCATTCCTCACACACACACACCGCGGTGCATTGAACAGAGACAAAGAACCCCCGTGTCCTCTGAACAGACTGTTGGAGCAAGAGCTGTGAGCGAGCGACATCGATGAAGGCTGACACGTGGCTGGTGTTTACACACCACAGCAGGAAACGTAAACTCATTTAAGGCTGAGTCGACCTAAAGGCTGAGTCGGTACATACGGAATACACACGAATATACAAAGACGTATACACATACTTTACCCACATATATACACATACATACAATACACACACGCACACATCATATACAACATACACACACTACGAATACGCGCTACCGATAACCTCATAGAAACAGTAACTGGCTTGCCGCACATGAACGTGACATTGTCATGCTTCTAACTGAGGAGGAGTCAAGGTCGTTGCCACCACAGCTTAGTCGTCACCGCACTCGACGTGCCGTGACTCGAGCCGCCGTGCCGTTTGTTGTCGATCCGCGCGCGTTCGTGCCCAAGACAAACATACCAAGGGTCACGGGTTCCTCCTCACTTTCAGAGCGGTTCATCGATTCGAAAACGGTTACCGGTTTACTGGATATCGTTTAATACCACTAATCCACACGAATACACAGCGACAAAGATCCCCGTACAGCCTCAACAAACACTTTCATACACACGTAAATATACACAAGTACAGGTAGAAATACAGAGATATACAGTACGTACACAATTACACACATATAAATACACACGCAAATATACACGCATATTATATACTACACATATACATAATATTCACGGACATTACACACGACGATATATGTACATACACAAATACACCGAGACAAAGACCCCCCGTACAGACTTAAGAGACTGTTGGGGAAAGTACTGTTAACGAGTAACACCTATTGAAGGCCGGCCGGGCACACGAGGGGGTGGGTGGCGAACACCACGCCCGGCCGCCTTTGTCTCCCCAGTCGCGATGTTTACATTGCACCGGGTACTAATTTGAGGCTGAGTCGACCTAGGGGAGGCCCGGGACTGGTTGAGATCATCGTCACTGGGTGTTGGCCGTGAGCGGGAATCGAACCCGGGTCGTCAGGTTCATAGCGCAACGAGCTCACCACTACACTACCGCTCCCCGCGCACACACACATACACACACACATAAACACACACATTCACATATACACACATATAAACACACATACACACAACAACAACCGCCATTCGCCACTAAGTGGCGGTGACGTCACCACGACGCTTGTGCCAGGCCATGTGCACATTGAGGCCACGTTGGCAGGAGGTCACGGGGCAGACCCAGGTGCCACGGGTCGACTGACTGAGATGACTGGCTGATGCACCACCTGTGCCCCCTACTGTGCCAACCTGCTGTGCCCTAGTCACCCGGCGCTCCGCTCGTTGTTGTGAGCGTCGCTCCGCCGCCCTCCGTTGTTGTTGGAGGGCGACTGCCTCCAACTGCCTAGTAGCGTCCTACACGAGCCTCCTCCACAGAGGCCGATCTTGACACCGCTGGTACCAGTCATCGGCAAGTCCACTCAGCTCCACGTCCTCCTGTGCCACATCACTCCATCTCTTCTCTAGCCCGTGCCGCGCCCGTTTAGCCCCCTCGATCCGGCCGAAGAAAAGCTGTTTCGGCATGCGGTGGCTGGGCATGCGGGCTACATGACCCAGCCAACGCAGCCTTGCCTGCCGGAGGAACTCACCGATGGGACCTTGCCCAGATTTTTCAAGGATTTGTGAGCTCCTCACACAATCCAGCCTGGTTAAACTCAGGATGGATCGTAGGCAGGCCAGCCTAAATGTTTCTAACCGGCGAAGATGTTCCATTAGGGGGGTCCACGTTTCGCAAGCGTAGAGAAGGGAGGGAATGACCGTGGCCGAGAAGACCTGAAGCTTAGTGCGGAGCGACAGACCAGGTAGCTTCCACACAGCGTTACGCAACCGATGAAAAGATATTGCCGCTCGACTGATTCGGAGTGAGACCTCTGCTGTTAAACTGGAGCCGGTCATAAGCACACTGCCCAGGTATGGGAAACTCTCCACTCTCTCCACAACTGCCCCATCACCGATTGGGAGTTGTGGGGGTGGAGTGTCCGATGGTACAAAATACCCAGGCAGGTGCTTAGTTTTGGTGGGGCTGATGGTAAGGCCCCATCTCTTAGTGGCACGCTCCAGTCTCAGCAGCAGCGTCTCCAACTCCTCCTCTGAATGAGCAGCTATTACCAAATCATCGGCATACATAACGTGGTTAAGCAATAGGGAGCCATCCCTTTACCGCACCCGGGCATAAATCAGCCTCCCATTATATCTGTACCAAATGGAGATTCCCCCGGTACAGCTATTGAAGGCTTCACGAATTACGTGGTCAAAATAGATGTTAAATAATGTGGGAGCCAGAGGACATCCCTGTCGCACCCAAGGTGTACAGGGAATGGCTCTGACTCCCGGCCACGTAGTTTTACCCGGGCCCGCTCACCATCATGAAGGTCCTTAATGATCGTGAGCAGAGGGTCAGGGACTCCAAGAGCACGAAGAATAACCCAGAGCCCAGGCCTACTGATGGTATCATAGGCCTTGACCAGGTCAATAAAGCAGAGATGTAGGTCTCAGCTTTATTGACCTGGTCAAGGCATTCACACCCACACACATTCAGTGTGAGAGTGTGAGAGTGTGAGTGTGAGAGTGTGCGTGAGTGTGTGAGTGTGAGAGTGTGAGTGTGTGAACGTGTGAGAGTGTGAGAATGTGAGTGTGAGAGTGTGTGTGTGTGAGTGTGTGTGAGTGTGTGTGAGAGTGTGAGCATGTGAGTGTGTGAGAGTGTGAGAGTGTGTGAGTGTGAGTGAGTGTGAGAGAGAGAGACGATGCATAGCGGAGCGATCACATCGATGGGCTCTTGGGTGACTCGTAAAGAGCTGAGAGTCTCCGCCACTCGCTGTCGCGGTGACAGAGGGAGGGAGAAAGAGGACGACTCAGAGGCACCACGAGGAGGAGGAGGAAGAGGATAAAGACCACAGACGAGCGGGAAGGCAGCGGAAGCAGCAACGCGGTAAGGAGCCGGCGCCAACAATTGCCCGAGCTCTGCCGTCCTATATATATCGAGATGTAAGCGGCCAATTAATGGCAATGAGCGCTTCCTTGTGCGAGGAAACGGGAACAAGCCCACTCGTGGGGAGAGGCAACACTCAACTGCACGCAGAGCGAACAGTTGAGGCCACGTGTGCTGCTGCGCTGCCTTTCCCTGGCACCTTCCTCGAGGTCCACGGGAAGGAGTTGAGTCTCGCGACACCTGTGCGTGTGTGCGGTGATCCACCAGCCCTCGCTGCTGCCTCCACAGCCCTGGACTACCGTGAGCCGCGTGGGGCACAGCGTGCACCACCGCGCAGCGACCACTGAACGGGTCGGTGACGATGAGCAGTCGCGAGGTTTTACGATGCGACGCTTCCATTCGGTTCTCCCAACAACAGCACTGGGGGAACGAGACTGCAACATTGAGAGCGCATGGTCTCACGTGGATGATGGCGATGTCACGTCGATTATAACAATCATGATGTCGCATAGATGATGATGGTGGTGGTGGTAGTGGTGGTTATGGTGATGATGGTGATAGGGATGGTGTCACATCGAGGAGGATGCTCGTGGCGGTGGTGATGATGATGATGCTTATGATCATGGTGCCGATGATGATGGTTCCGATGATGATGGTGCTGCTGATGCTGATGATGATAGTGATGGTTGTGGCGATGTCGCGACGCACCTGCAGGATGCGGGAGATGTCGCAGGGCCGCGCGCCGCTGTGCGCTAACTCCACGATCTTCTGGCGGATGGAGTCCGGGAGCGGCCGCCCGTTGACAAACACTCCTCCCAGCTGGTTCACGCCGCTGTGACCTGTCAGGCCCGGGGGGGGGGGGGGGCGATGGGGGGGTGAGGGGGTGGCGAGGGTGGGGGCGGTGATGATAGGGGAAGAGAGGTGTGGGATGATGAGATCGCAGAATCCGTGATAGTGGTGGTGGTGGTGGTGATGGGGTGGAGGTTGTGGATGGTGAGATGTTGAAAGCGAATGGAAGCGATGATGATGTAAGGGAAGAAAGGAGGTAAGATATAAATCATCATCATCGTCATCATTCTTCACCAGATATCGCATATTCGGACTCAGGGCCGCTCCCAGGTTCATATTCGGGTTGGGTTGATGATTCGTGTTATGGTTAGAGTCGGGGTTAGGGTCGGGGTGAGAGTCGGGGTTAGGGTGAGAGTCGGGGTTAGGGTCGGGGTTAGCGTCGGGGTTGGAGTCGGGGTTAGAGTCGGGGTTAAGGTGAGAGTCGGGGTTAGAGTGAGAGTCGGGGTTTGGGTCGGGGTTAGAGTCGGGGTTAAGGTGAGAGTCGGGGTTAGAGTCGGGGTTAAAGTCGGGGTTAGAGTGAGAGTCGGGGTTAGAGTCGGGATTAGAGTCGGGGTTAGAGTGAGAGTCGGGGTTTGGGTCGGGGTTAAAGTCGGGGTTAGAGTGAGAGTCGGGGTTAGAGTCGGGGTTTGGGTCGGGGTTAGAGTCGGGGTGAGAGTCGGGGTTAGGGTGAGAGTCGGGGTTTGGGTCGGGGTTAGAGTCGGGGTTAGGGTGTTAGCGTCAATGCCCCCCGCCCCGCCCCCTCCCCCCGCCCCCCGCCCCCACCGCGCGTCCAGACGATGATAACGATGTCGTGACGCGCGTTAATTACTTCCGCTAATTAACGAAGGGACTCCGCTCGTCACGGGGGGTATGTGGGGCTTAAGAGAGGGGGAAGTAAGGGGGGGGGTGGGGGCAGCGGGGGAGGGGTCTGCACCCCCCTCGCCGTGCCCTCTCGGCACCTCGTCACGGCGCGAGACAGCTGAACGATGACACGGATGACGGCTGATTGATACTGATGATGGGTATCGAGATGATGTTGAGGATACGATGATCGGTATCAAGATAATACTGATATGGATTAAGCGCGACTGATGACTTCAATGAGATGATGATGGTAGTGGTGAGCAGATGATGATGACGATGGTTAAATGATGATGTTGGTGAGATGATGGTGTTGGTGAGATTATGATGATGATAGTAATGGTGAGATGATGATGACCCTGGGTCCGGGGTCGAGGTCACGAGGGGTCAAACTCGAGTCTCACTGATCGCGTCTCCTCTCTCTCCCCCTCTCTCTCCCCCTCTCTCACTCTCCCTTCCTCTTAGCCAACGCCATCTCCCGCTTTCTGCCTCGCTCTTCCACCTCACGCTCACCCCTCCCTCACCTTTTTCACATTTCACTACCGTAATTACCACTGTCACCACAACGCCTCTCCTCACCTCTCTCTCTCTCTCCTCATCCCTCTCACCCACCTCTTCCTCACCTATCTTACTTCTCTTCTCACATCACTTCTCTCCGTGTTCCTCTCCCGCAGTGACCTCACTCCATCTCCCACCTCACCCCGCGTCTCACCTCTACCTCCCTCGCATCATCATCATCAGCAGCATCAGCAGCAGCATCTCTCTCGCTCTCTCCCTCTGCTGCGCTCGTGCCCGCGCGCGCGCGACTTTTATATCGGCACGAGGAGGAGGTTTGTAGCAGCGCGAGGAGGAGGAGGGAGGAGGAGGGAGGAGGAGTAGTCACGGCTAAAGGACGCAAATGATCAGCGCCAGTGACGCGATGTCACGCGCGCAGTGCCGACTTGAGGCTAATTTTTGCAAATGGAAACCCCGCGTCTGGGCGCGTCAAATCCAGCGGATCGGAACCCCCCGTGGCGACCGCCGGCAGAGGCACAGCCGCCAGCTCCATTCTCATCTCCCATTAGCGCCCGCGTCTCTCTCTCTCCCTCGTGTAACACCATGTAGTGTGTGCGTGTGTTGTTATAATACCATGTAGTGTGTGCGTGTGTTGTTATAATACCATGTAGTGTGTGCGTGTGTTGTTATAATACCATGTAGTGTGTGCGTGTGTTGTTATAATACCATGTAGTGTGTGCGTGTGTTGTTATAATACCATGTAGTGTGTGCGTGTGTTGTTATAATACCATGTAGTGTGTGCGTGTGTTGTTATAATACCATGTAGTGTGTGCGTGTGTTGTTATAATACCATGTAGTGTGTGCGTGTGTTGTTATAATACCATGTAGTGTGTGCGTGTGTTGTTATAATACCATGTAGTGTGTGCGTGTGTTGTTATAATACCATGTAGTGTGTTGTTATAATACCATGTAGTGTGTGCGTGTGTTGTTATAATTCCATGTAGTGTGTGCGTGTGTTGTTATAATACCATGTAGTGTGTGCGTGTGTTGTTATAATACCATGTAGTGTGTGCGTGTGTTGTTATAATACCATGTAGTGTGTGCGTGTGTTGTTATAATACCATGTAGTGTGTGCGTGTGTTGTTATAATACCATGTAGTGTGTGCGTGTGTTGTTATAATACCATGTAGTGTGTGCGTGTGTTGTTATAATACCATGTAGTGTGTGCGTGTGTTGTTATAATACCATGTAGTGTGTGCGTGTGTTGTTATAATACCATGTAGTGTGTTGTTATAATACCATGTAGTGTGTGCGTGTGTTGTTATAATTCCATGTAGTGTGTTGTTATAATACCATGTAGTGTGTTGTTATAATACCATGTAGTGTGTTGTTATAATACCATGTAGTGTGTTGTTATAATACCATGTAGTGTGTTGTTATAATACCATGTAGTGTGTTGTTATAATACCATGTAGTGTGTTGTTATAATACCATGTAGTGTGTTGTTATAATACCATGTAGTGTGTTGTTATAATACCATGTAGTGTGTTGTTATAATACCATGTAGTGTGTTGTTATAACACCATGTAGTGTGTTGTTATAATACCATGTAGTGTGTTGTTATAACACCATGTAGTGTGTTGTTATAATACCATGTAGTGTGTTGTTATAATACCATGTAGTGTGTTGTTATAACACCATGTAGTGTGTTGTTATAACACCATGTAGTGTGTGCGTGTGTTGTTATAATACGACGTCGTGCGTGCTGCTCGCGAACAGCACGTGCCCCACCAGTGTCTTGAAGTCTACACGGGGGAATGGAGGACGCTGCTGGGACAGTTGGAGGCAGTCGCCCTCTCGCAACAACATCGGAGGGTAGAGGAGCGACGCTCACAACAATGCGCGAGGCGCCGGGCGGATAAAATCAATCAAGTTAGCATAGTAGGGATCACAGTGGCGCCTTTGCCAGTCATGTCAGTCAACCCCTGGCAGTCAGATCGGTCCCGTGACCTCATGCAAGGGAGGTTTCCACACTTTACGTGACGGACTCAAAGTGCACCTAGCCTGGCACAAATGTTGTGGTGGTCACCGCCACACTGTGAATACACCTGTGAGTGTGAGTACACGTGTGAGTAGTCGTGTGAGTACACGTGTGAGTGTGATTCTACGTGTGAGTGTGAATACACGTGTGAGTGTAAGTACACGTGTGAGTCCACGTGTGAGTGTAAGTACACGTGTGGGTGTAAGTACACGTGTGAGTCCACGTGTGAGTACATGTGTGAGTGTAACTCCACGTGTGGGTGTAAGTACACGTGTGAGTACACGTGTGAGTGTGAGTACACGTGTGAGTACACGTGTGAGTGTAAGTACACGTGTGAGTACACGTGTGAGTACACGTGTGAGTGTCATTACACGTGTGAGTACACGTGTGAGTGTAAGTACACGTGTGAGTCCACGTGTGAGTGTAAGTACACGTGTGAGTACACGTGTGAGTGTAAGTACACGTGTGAGTCCACGTGTGAGTACACGTGTGAGTGTGAGTACACGTGTGAGTGTGAGTACACGTGTGAGTGTAAGTACGCGTGTGAGTACACGTGTGAGTACACGTGTGAGTGTAAGTACACGTGTGAGTCCACGTGTGAGTGTGAGTACACGTGTGAGTCTAAGTACACGTGTGAGTGTGAGTACACGTGTGAGTACACGTGTGAGTGTGAGTACACGTGTGAGTACACGTGTGAGTGTAAGTACACGTGTGAGTGTGAGTACACGTGTGAGTACACGTGTGAGTGTAAGTACACGTGTGAGCCCACGTGTGAGTGTGAGTACACGTGTGAGTACACGTGTGAGTGTAAGTACACGTGTGAGCCCACGTGCTCTCACTGTTGTTCATGGCGCGCGCAGGAGCCGGCGCGGTGAGGTCGGGGTCACGTGCTCTCCTCACGGCTCACCTGGGCACAGACACGTGACAGGAGACTCACCACCACCGCTCACCCTCCCTCCCCACCCACCTCGGACCCTCCCCACCTCACGTCTTTCCTACTCGATGTTCCAATGATGCGGTTGATGGTCCCACCAGTGTCTTGGAGGAGGGGGAGGTACAGGAGGAAGGTTAATATCAAAGCCAGGAGCTGCGATGTTTGGGTCACGAGTACGGCGATCATTCCGGACGTCCGCGTTCTTCCACTCTGTTCGCACGCAGCAGCAGCATCATCATCAGGAGCAGCAGCAGGAGCAGGAGGAGGAGCAGGAGAAGCAGGAGGAGCAGCAGGAGGAGTAGGAGGAGGAGGATCAGGGGGAGCAGGAGGAGGAGCAGGAGGAGCAGTGGGAGCAGGAGGAGCAGGAGGAGCAGGGGGAGCAGGAGGAGCAGCAGGAGGAGCAGCAGGAGGAGCAGCAGGAGGAGGGGCAGCAGGGGGAGGAGCAGGGGGAGCAGGAGGACCAGGGGGAGCAGGGGGAGGAGCAGGGGGAGCAGGAGGAGGAGCAGCAGGAGGAGGAGCAGTGGGAGCAGGAGGAGCAGGGGGAGGAGCAGGGGGAGGAGCAGGAGGAGCAGGAGGAGGAGGAGCAGGGGGAGCAGGGGGAGCAGGAGGACCAGGGGGAGCAGGAGGAGGAGCAGCAGGAGGAGGAGCAGGAGGAGCAGGAGGAGGAGGAGCAGGGGGAGCAGGGGGAGCAGGAGGAGGCCGGTGATGGAAGTCGCCTGCAGCGAACTCGCCCCCTAATTGCGGCGCCTTCTCCACCGATTTAAAAAAAAATCTATTCACGCGTGAAGAAGAGGAGTCGGGGGCGCAGGGGCGGGGCCCGTATGGAGGGGGAGGGTGATGGGGGGATGCTTGGGGGGAGCGGGCGGCGCGTGAGTAAACGTGTAAACACCTCCTTCACCCCCCCCGCCCCGAGTGGCGTTGTTGGGATGACACGAGGAGGCGGGGGTAGGGGGTAGCCGTGGCGCAGCGGTTTTGCTCAACTGCGCTACCGAACCTCGCGATGGTTACAAAGATGTTGGCGATGGCGACTGGCGTGAGTGGCGATGGTTACAAAGATGTTGGCGACTGGCGTGAGTGGCGATGGTTACAAAGATGTTGGCGATGGCGACTGGCGTGAGTGGCGATGGTTACAAAGATGTTGGCGATGGTGAGAAAAGGGAGAAACCTCCTCTGATACCTCCCTCGCCCCTCACTCCCTGCCCCCCTCGTCCCATTGGGGCATGCCCCCCCCTCCCCGCTTCACCGCGACCTCCTTCCAGCTAGCAGCACGCCTGTCCCGTGAGATGCCAGCCTTGGGTTAGACACTGGGTGCCGGGAACCACGTGACCCCTCACCTGCACGAGACGTGACGCCGCGCATGCCTCTCCCGCGAGCCGGCGGCACACCTGTGTCCACCTGTGTCCACCTGTGTCCACCTGTGTCCACCTGGACCCTACCTGCCGGACACACACATGCACAAACATTGACATACACCTACACATATATCTGTGTTCACCTTCGGTATATTCATACACACAACAACAACCGCCATTCGCCACTAAGTGGCGGTGACGTCACCACGACGCTTGTGCCAGGCCATGTGCACCTTGAGGCCACGTGAAGTGTCGAACGCCCGCTGACAGGAGGTCACGGGGCAGACCCAGGTGCCACGGGTCGACTGACTGAGATGACTGGCTGATGCACCACCTGTGCCCCCTACTGTGCCAACCTGCTGTGCTTTAGCCACCCGGCGCTCCGCTCGTTGTTGTGAGCGTCGCTCCGCCGTCCTCCGTTGTTGTTGGAGGGCGACTGCCTTCAACTGCCCAGTAGCGTCCTTCACGAGCCTCCTCCACAGAGGCCGATCTTAACACCGCTGGTACCAGTCATCGGCAAGTCCACTCAGCTCCATGTCCTCCTGTACCACATCACTCCATCTCATCTCTAGCCCGTGCCGCGCCCGTTTAGCCCCCTCGATCCGGCCGAACAAAAGCTGTTTCGGCATGCAGTGGCTGGGCATACGGGCTACATGACCCAGCCAACGCAGCCTTGCCTGCCGGAGGAGCTCACCGATGGGACCTTGCCCAGATCTTTCAAGGATTTGTGAGCTCCTCACACAATCCAGCCTGGTTAAACCAGGATGGATCGTAGGCAGGCTAGCCTAAATGTTTCTAACCGGCGAAGATGTTCCATTAGGGGGGGTCCACGTTTCGCAAGCGTAGAGAAGGGAGGGAATGACCGTGGCCGAGAAGACCTGAAGCTTAGTGCGGAGCGACAGACCAAGTAGCTTCTACACAGCGTTACGCAACCGATGAAAAGATATTGCCGCTCGACTGATTCGGAGTGAGACCTCTGCTGTTAAACTGGAGCCGGTCATAAGCACACTGCCCAGGTATGGGAAACTCTCCACTCTCTCCACAACTGCCCCATCACCGATTGGGAGTTGTGGGGGTGGAGTGTCCGATGGTACAAAATACCCAGGCACGTGCTTAGTTTTGGTGGGGCTGATGGTAAGGCCCCATCTCTTAGTGGCACGCTCCAGTTTCAGTAGCAGCGTCTCCAACTCCTCCTCTGAATGAGCAGCTATTACCAAATCATCGGCATACATAACATGGTTGAGCATACACACATACACATAAACACACATTTACACACTTTCACATTCACAAATGAATACAAAGATAGCCCTGATAGCCTTGACATACTGTTGGGGCGCGCACCTATGAAGGCCGACACAACGCAATAGGTGGTGGCCAACACCACGCCCGGCCGCCTTTGTCTCCCCAATGCTGATGGAAGTTGTCAAGTCGACGTCGGGAGGCTCGGGGCCGGTTCAGGTGTTCGTCATTGACAGCAATGGCTGAGAACACGTGTACATGTACAAGTGTTCATATACACGCGTGCATGTACACGTGTGCACGAACACGTGTGCACGTACACGTGTGCTCGGACACGTGTGCATATACACGTGTGCATCTGCACGTGTACACGAACACGTGTGCATATACACGTGTGCATGTGCACGTGTACACGAACACGTGTGCATATACACGTGTGCATGTGCACGCGTGATCGAACACGTGTGCATGTACACGTGTGCATGTACACGTGTACACGAACACCTGTGCATGTACACGTGTACACGAACACGTGTGCATGTACACGTGTGCTCGAACATGTGTGCACGTACACGTGTGCATGTACACGTGTGCTCGAACACGTGTACATGACCACGCAGCCACGTCCCGAAAGCCCACGCTACGTGAGTGTGCGCAGCGGCAGCGTAGCGCTGTGCGCAAGTTCGATTCCCGCTCACGACCGATAACGACACCAGTGGTGATTGTCTGAAGCGGTCCGCGTTGTTACCCCCGGTGCTGTTGTCACCCGGCGCTGTGTCAACCGGTGCTGTGTGTTGCTATTGTGTTTATACCACGTGTGGTGTCACCGCGTGCAAAAGTTATGTAAACCGGTGTTGTGTCACCCGGCGTCGTGTTGTGGCTGTGTTTGCTGTTGTGTCAGTAGCACGAGGAGTAGGAGAATAAACTTAACTGGGACGCGAATGTAGGGCGCGGCGTCAATTATTCATCACACACAGAGACGCACAGAGACACACAAAGACACACACACAGACACACAGACAAAAGATCCCCCAGTATAGCCTTAACAGACTGTTAGGGCAAGTGCTGTTAGCGAGCACCTATGAAGGCCGGAACGGTACACGAGGGGGTGGGTGGCCAGCACCACGCCCGGCTGCCTTTGTTTCCCTAGTGGCAATGTTTACACACCGCACCAGGTACTCATTTTAGGCTGAGTCGACCTAGGGGAGGCCTAAGACCGGTTCTGATTATCGTTATTGGTGTTGGCCGTGAGCGGGAATCGAACTTGGGTCGCCGGGTTCGTAGCGCAGCGTAGCGCTAACCGCTCCACCACCGCTCACACACACAGACACACAAACACACACACAGACACACACTCGTGTGTGTCTGTGTGTGTGTGGGGAGTGGTGGTGTAGCGGTTAGCGCGTTGCGCTACGAACTCGCTCACGGCCAACACCAGTGACGATTATCTGAACCGGTCCTGGACCTCCCCGAGGTCGACTCAGCCTAAATGATTACCTGGTGCGGTGTGCAGTAAACATCGCCACTGGGAAGACAAAGGCAGTCGGGCGTGGTGCTGGCCACCCACCCCCTCGTGTGCCGTGCCGGCCTTCATAGTTGCGCATTGCCCCAAACAGTCTGTTACGGCTATACAGGGAGATCTTTGTGTGTGTGTGTCTGTATATGTGTGTCTCTCTTTGTATCTGTATATACCTGTGTGTATTTACATCTGTGTGTGTGTCTGTATATGTGTCTCTCTTTGTATCTGTATATACCTGTATGTATGTACATCTGTGTGTGTGTCTGTATATGTGTGTCTCTCTTTGTATTTGTATATACCTGTGTGTATATATATCTGTGTGTGTGTCTGTACATATGTGTGTCTCTCTTTGTATTTGTATATACCTGTATGTATGTACATCTGTGTGTGTGTCTTTTTATGTGTCTCTCTTTGTATCTGTATATACCTGTGTGTATGTACATCTGTGTGTGTGTCTGTATATGTGTGTGTGTCTCTTTGTATCTGTATATACCTGTGTGTATATATATCTGCGAGTGTGTGTACATCTGTGTGTGTCTCTCTTTGTATCTGTATATACCTGTGTGTATATATATCTGCGAGTGTGTGTACATCTGTGTGTGTGTGTCTGTATATGTGTGTCTCTCTTTGTATCTGTATATACCTGTGTGTATATATATCTGCGAGTGTGTGTACATCTGTGTGTGTGTGTCTCTCTTTGTATCTGTATATACCTGTGTGTATATATATCTGCGAGTGTGTGTACATCTGTGTGTGTGTGTCTGTGTGTGTTTTTCTGTGCGTGTGCCCACGTCGCACCGCTGTGCGCGCTGCGCGTGTGATTTGCCTCATTAGGGCATTAGCACACAGCCCAGCGCGCAGAGAAAGAGTCCCTCGGGTCCCGGGGCCGCGGGGCCACCCCTCCCCTCGCCCTCTTCCCCCCCACCCCCTCGCCCTCTTCCCCCCCACCCCCTCCCCTCGCCCTCTTTCCCCCACCCCCTCCCCTCGCCGCCTTACCCCCCACCCCCTCCCCTCGCCGCCTGACCCCCCACCCCCAACCCCCCGGGCACGGGACCTGGGGCAGCGACACCCGGGTCGAGTCGGTGGCAGTACAGAGACTCTCCCACACCTCCCTCCTGTACTCTCACTCCTCCACTCTCACTCCTCCACTCTCCCACACCTCCCTCCTGTACTCTCACTCCTCCACTCTCCCACACCTCCCTCCTGTACTCTCACTCCTCCACTCTCACTCCTCCACTCTCCCACACCTCCCTCCTGTACTCTCACTCCTCCACTCTCCCACACCTCCCTCCTGTACTCTCACTCCTCCACTCTCCCACACCTCCCTCCTGTACTCTCACTCCTCCACTCTCCCACACCTCCCTCCTGTACTCTCACTCCTCCACTCTCCCACACCTCCCTCCTGTACTCTCACTCCTCCACTCTCCCACACCTCCCTCCTGTACTCTCACTCCTCCACTCTCACTCCTCCACTCTCCCACACCTCCCTCCTGTACTCTCACTCCTCCACTCTCCCACACCTCCCTCCTGTACTCTCACTCCTCCACTCTCCCACACCTCCCTCCTGTACTCTCACTCCTCCACTCTCCCACACCTCCCTCCTGTACTCTCACTCCTCCACTCTCCCACACCTCCCTCCTGTACTCTCACTCCTCCACTCTCACTCCTCCACTCTCCCACACCTCACTCCTCCACTCTCACTCCTCCACTCTCCCACACCTCCCTCCTGTACTCTCACTCCTCCACTCTCCCACACCTCCCTCCTGTACTCTCACTCCTCCACTCTCCCACACCTCCCTCCTGTACTCTCACTCCTCCACTCTCACTCCTCCACTCTCCCACACCTCCCTCCTGTACTCTCCCCTGTACTCTCACTCCTCCACTCTCCCACACCTCCCTCCTGTACTCTCACTTGTCTCTCTCTTTAACTCTTTCCTATACCCCACTCATATTCTCCCGTGTCCATCATCTCTGCTCTCTCTCACCCATCATCTCTCCTGGTTCCTCCCTTCATCTCTGTCTCATCTTCCCCTCTCCCAGGCATCTCTCTCTCTGTTTTACTCTGCACTCCTCTCACTGTCGGCATCTCCTCTTTCTCACACTCTCCTATATCACACTCTCCTATATCACACTCTCCCTTGTCTCTCCCTTGTCTCTCCCTTGTCTCTCCCTTGTCTCTCCCTTGTCTCTCCAAAACGATTTCCTCTCTCTACGAACCCTCCACTCTACCCGTGTCTTCCTTTCTACCTTTATCTATCTTTATCTATCTTTCTCTACCTTTATCTATCTTTATCTATCTTTATCTATCTTTCTCTATCTTTCT